AAGAATGTTTCTGAAATTTATCAATTGCATTAAGATCACATTAATTTTAGTATCGTCTGAAGTTTAAGTAATATTAATATAGATAAAGATCAGTGAGCCGCTATCAGAATTTTTAACTCATAGATAGCTTCGTTTTTTTTTAATTGATAACAATATATTATACAATATAATATTTCAGAAAATGTACTACAAGTGCAGATGTAGATCTTCAATCAGATGATAGTAACATAGAGCTTTTTTGCACCAAGCGCACATTAATAGTGTTCGTTCACTACAATTGTTAATTGAACAATACAGGTCATAATACTTGAAACAAAGGTCTTTTGGTTTTTCAATCTGTCCAATTGTTTCATTTGTTATTTGAGCTTGTATGAATCCACTCTTAATGAGATTTTTAAATGGTGGAACTGATAATTGATTATGAATAACAGAATGTATGTTGATAAAATATTGACGATCACTTATAGTTGTTTCTGTTCGGTTAATATGAGTATAATGTTCGATTTTTTCATGAATAAATCGCCATGATTGAAATAAGGAAAGGTCCTGTGGTTGAATATAACCGGTCGATCCTTTATGAAAAATCAATAATTGACTGTCTTGATGAGGAAATACTGCTCTAAATTTTGTTAGATCAGCTTGAGTTTTCCAAGCATCAAGGAAAAGAAGAAATTTTTTATCAACAAATGGACGTAGAACTTCATTTAAAAAGACATGATGATTTTCGTCATTGCTTTTTCCTGATTTTGAAGCTCTTACTACAACATTTGGTGGTATTATTAAATTTTTTTGTACTCTTTTACCTAGTGTGTTTTCTTTTTCTTGAAGTATAAGTAAAAACTTGTCCAATAAAAGACCGTTAGCTGATGTTACCGGTTGAATTGTATAAGAATGTGTGATATTATATTTCTTTTTAACAACTACTTCAGTTGTTCTTTCACCAGTAAAAGAAAGAGTTCTTGGTGGAATATATTCTTGTTGAAATGAATAGTGATCGCTATTTAAAATTTGATGAGAAGGATACTTTGCTATTAAAGTTCTTTTACTGTCAATCCAATTGTGAGCATCTAAAAAATATACGTATATTACATTAAGATATGTGAATTTAAAGACATAATAAGTTTATGTACCATTTAAACTACAATTTTTTCTATTTGTCTTAGTTCGAGTAATAATTTTGTTGTATCTTCTTGATGATATTCTGTTTTCCTTTTTAAACGTGTTGATAAATGATTTGCTTGCCTCGAAAGTATCAAAATTTAATTCTCTTGCTTTTTGAATAGCATATAATTCTAGGTCAGCATCATGAACGGATTCTTTTTCAATTGCTCTTTTTAGATAAAATTCATTAAACATAAACTCTTTAATTTGTTTTAATTTTTCTAATCTTGTGCCGTTGTTCTCGATATAATGTCGAAACCTTGTAATATAATACATGTATTTGACCTTTTTAATTCTATGTGAAATGGTTGCAAGTCTAGCATTCGGATGTTCGTCAACCCATTCGACTATACGTTGCATTTCTTCTAATGTAAAATGATCATTTATATCAGAATGTTCGTTTTCATTGTAGTCATTAATGTCATCATTACTCGATTCTTCGTCAGTCATTTCATCATATTCATCGTCGAAATCGAGAGTGTCATACGCATACAGTTCAGTGAAGTAGCTGACATTTATAGATTTTAAAACTTCGAATAACCGTTCTGCAGCAAAAATTTCATCCGTTGTTGTTGGAGAATTTTCTGAATCATATTCATTTTCAGTCAAGTGAAGAATATGTTTAACAATATTCAATAAATTCATATTTTAATATTGTAAAATAAACCTTGTTATATATTAGATATAGCAGTAAACAAAACAGGAATAATTATTAGGTAATGGTTATATTTCTTTGTGATATCTTAACAACCAATCGAACAGAGATTATCAGTTTAAATGCCAAGTGATGCATTAATGCACTTTAAATTCAAATATTAAATATACAGGTCATGCTTCAGACATATCATTTTTTTTTCTTTTATCTCGATAATGCCTCGACTTTAGACGATACTGAAATTAATGTGATCTTAATGCAATTGATAAATTTCAGAAACATTCTT